AAACTTCCCAAACCACCTAATCAAAAAGAACTCCCAGTCAAAACCTCTCTCTATCCCTTCATTCCAAAAAGTTCAACTCACCCTCTCTGAAAACACCCACACCAGCATCCAACATCCCCTTATACTTGACTCCACCCTTAACCTGATCCTGCGTCTGCAAAATAACCTTCACACGCTCCATAGGAACAGTAATAATAGACGTAGCCCATCCAGAGAATCCACCTGCAAACGCAAATTCAAGCATGGTGAGGTCTTTGGATTTACGGTTTGGCGTCGCGGCTTTCACGATACGGGTTCCAAGGTCGTAGGACCTTTTTTGGGGGTTTGAGTGGTTAGTTAGGGTGGACTTTGGAGGGATTGCGAAGAGATAAGTGAGATTGATAACTTACCAGAATGAGAGAGCCCACATTGGAGTGACTCCGACGAGGGGAGCTGAGACTCCACGGTAGAGTGCTTTGAGACCGTCTTTTGCCTGGAGGTCGTTGTTGGGAGATTTAATGGTTATGCTTGGGGAGGGAAACAATATAGCTATTTGGGACTCACAATCGTTTGTTTGAAACAGTCGGCCATTCCTGCGTATTGGCCTGGAGCAGCTGTTTGCATACGGACCTGGTAGGGTATTTAAACAGGGTAAGCTATTCGGCTGGGTTTTATAGGGCTCAAAGAGAGACCTTGATAGTATCGAATGGCTGTCCAGCCAACACGTTCGCAATTCCTCCGAAACCTCCTCCAAGGAAGGCCTATTCATTATTAAGTTAATAACCATCGCAATAGTTTGATTACGGATTACCTTGAGCTGGTCTACTTCGCGCTTCTTCTCTCCCATTGTTGACGTTTTCTTGGTTTTTCTTCCAGAGCCACCCTAAAAACCAAGATAACTCAGAACCCTGCACATGGGTTGCCTGTATTTATCAGCGAAAGTTGGTGTTTGTCATAGAGGGGAATTGTCAGGTATTTCAGTGCTCTTTCTTTTTTATTTTAAGGTCGTGTGAGAACCAGCACATGACACTCTCGTAGATACAACTCGACAAACTAAAAAAAATCAGCTGTGGTTTTCATTTGCGTGCAGATACAATCTGAGACAAATCCGCAGTAGAAGAAGGAGAATCGCGGCCTTCTTTGCCTCTCCCCGTCCCATCCGGATTAAATCGATGTTTATGCGTTCCAGTAAACGTCGAAACATCATTCAATCGATCAAATACACTTGGTTTCCCATCCTCTGAGCCCGACATGGATCTATTTTCACCCCATGCAATAATAGGAGCACTTGCTGAAAAAGATGAGGATGGGGAAAGAGGTCCTTTACTGCCCAATGTGCGTGCAGTGTTGTGTCGAGACACGATTGTGGATAGATTTGCTGTTGTGTTGATTGTATCGCGGCCTGCGAGGCCTCGTCCTTGGCCTGTAACTGGATCGAAGCGTTCCTTGTGTGTTCCGGTGTAAAGGGAAACGTCGGTTAGTTTTTCTGTGATTTCGTCGACTTGTGGAATCTAGTTTTGGTTGGGTTAGGGTGGGGATCGGCAAGGTTGAGTTGAGTAAAGTGACGGAGATGTTTAGAGGCACAACAATGCATCCCTTCCACTGAACCTGAACCATTGAAGGTACTTCTATACCCCCTCTACTCCGAAACTAGCATCCCCCGAACTACAAAACAACTACAAAAAACAAAACACGCACCGTTCCATTAATCAGAACCGGAGCCGACACAACCAACGCAACAACATGTTCCTCATCGCACTGCCTCGTCCACGCAATTTCTCTCAGCGCCCGTTGAAAGTCCGCATAGCCCAGTTTGCGCTTTCCCGGCTGCTTCACTTTCGCAAAGATAATATCGACATCAATCAGAGACAGCGAAATGTCGTCAATGAGGCCCGAGTCCCGACAGAGCTTTGCAAAACACTTTGAGTCCATTTGGATGGGTGGGTTTGGAAGGTGGGCTGGGCGAGGGGCGATTGTCTTTGGTGTGCCAAAGAGGGCAAACTCTTCAAAGGCGGCTTTTGATGTTCAGAGTGGGTTTAGTGTGTTAGTTACTTGATGTTTAGGTATAGGGCAAGCTACCTCGCAGGTCGGGGTTGTTTCGAAGGCCAGTGGTCATTTTGGGTTGGATTGATTTGGAAATCGAATTTGAAAGAGAGAACTTCTGTTCCATTCTCCCACTTATCCGTTTTGTTTCTTTCGTTCAAAATTCCACATCAAGCAATTTTGCAAAAAGAACAGGGAATGCAAGTCGATTTTCCTTGTTTGATCCGAGCCTCTGTAATTCAACAGGTATCGAGTTGTTTTGATTTACTTCAACACCAGCTACGGCCAGCACCAGTGTAATACTTTGCTGTTTTTCATGGATCAGAATGTGGGGTTGATCAGTATGGAGATGAGGAGGAAACCATTTTGAAAAAAATGCATGCCATCATTGCTGGCAGTGGACTTGTTGGAGCCGCAACTGCTCTTGCCCTTCACCAAGTTGGAATCCAAAGCACTCTGTATGATCAAGTGGACCTCGTCCAAGCTACTCTTGCTTCCAATGGTTTGCCTGTTGCTGTTGAATTTGGGGACTCTGGAGGTAAGGGTCAATTAAATTGACCATCCTTCTTTGTGCCTGTCTGACACTTGCGCTTTGTAATTAGGATCAGTATTGCTAGGATCTACAGCTCTTCGTGTCTTGCGCGAATTGGGACTCTTGGATGAAGTTCTTGTATCGGCTCATCCTTCCCCTGTTTCTCACTACTTCAAAATTGATGGAACGTCGGCCATTGCATTAGATGTTGTTAATGCTGTCAAGAACTCTGGCGAGGCTGATCCAACCCTTCAGACTCCAGTCCAAATCCTCCGTTCCAAGGTATTACTATTCAAGTGGATTTATTGATGTTAATTCTGCTTTTAGTTACACAGTATCTTTACTCATGCATGCTACAGAGCTGGAATCGCACTTTCACAGGAAAGAAGTTAGTTGCCTACAACGAAACAGAGCAAGGCGTCAATGTCCAATTTGCTGATGGAACTTTCGCAACGGGTGACTTTCTTGTGGGAGCTGACGGAATTCACTCTGCGACTCGTCGATCGATTTTCGGGGATTCCTGTAAAGCTGAATTCACTGGTGTCATTGGGCACATTGGCGTCGTGAGAATCAAGGAACACAACATCGCTCTAAAGGAAACATGTGCCTTCTATATTGATCGAAACAAGAAGCAAATGGTCTGCACGTTCAAAATGTCAGAGGAGCTTGCGGCTGTCCAAATGATGACGTTCAACGACCCACAGCCAGTCGTTGGGGAAGAATACCGCCCAGTCCCGGATTTACCAAAAGAATCGACTCGTTTGGCAGATTTACTGGCTGAATGGGGAGTTCCAAAGAATATCGAAAGTATGATGAGAAACTCGTTCAGAATTTCCCCTGCGGCGATTTACGATCTCCCCGACTTGGCCAGCTACCATAAAGGACGCGTTATTATTATTGGTGACGCCGCGCACGGAATGGTTCCTAACGCAGGATTGGGTCTCTTGACAGGTCTCGAAGACGTTGGTGTATTGTTGGAACTATTTCGTAGATTCAAAGAGCCAAAAGACCTTCCGCAAGTCTTTTCGCTGTACTCCCAACTGCGTGTGCCGCGTGGACAAGAAGCCGCAAAACGTAGTCGTGATATGGCGAAACAGTATTACTCTGGATCTCAAATTGTTGGCCATTTCATGCTTCGCGTCGCTTTCTTTTTGTTTAACTACAATCTTGTCAAAGTTCACAGTGTGTATGATTTTCGAGATGTTGTGGACAAGGCTGTACTCGGCCTTGCTTCTCATTAACAGAAAAGCACTCCCTCTCCTTTCCCACTTGTAGTTCGTTTATAGTGAGTTAAATAAAACAAATAAAACAAATAAACTTATTCAACAAAAATGTCTTCACCAATCCATGTGCAAAAGCTTCTGAACGGGACCATCCTTAAGATCTCACTCGCTTCCGGGCCAGTCAATGCACTCTCGCGCCCACTAGTCGCTGCTGTCAAGAATGAGTTTGTTTCAGCAAATGCAAAGGGAAGTGGCGTGAAGGGAATCCTGCTTTCATCAGCCCTTCCAAAGGTAGCTTGCCCTTCACTCTTTCCTTATCTTCCCTCCCTCCTTTTAACTTTAAACCACCTCACAGGTGTTTTCCGCGGGCCTCGATCTTTCCGAGCTGCAGCTTTCCCTCTTCCCAACCAACACAAAGGCCTCGGTCCAGTCGTACATTTCCAGTTTCCAGGACCTTGTTTTGACAATCGCCGGTTCGAAGGTGCCAACTGCCGCGGTTGTTCACGGTGCTTGTCCCGCGGGTGGAACTGTCTTGGCCATGTGCACTGACTACAAAGTGGCTGCCTCGAATCAGATTGGGAAGTTTTCTATGGGCCTAAATGAGACAAAGTAGCAGTGTTTACTTTGATGCTATTTGTTGGTGGGTTATTAATGTGTTTACCCTTTAATAGAGTCGGTCTTGGCCCACCACAATGGCTTCACAGTCTCGCCCGCTTGAACTTGAACAACCTGCGCACATCAGACAGATTAATTCAACTCGGATACCTCTGCTCCACTCCAGAGGAAGCCTTGTCCCACGGATTCCTTGATACTGTCCTCCCAAACCCTACAACTCCTGAACAACTCGAAGCTCATGCTATCCAACAATTGAATTTGTTGGCGGAAGTGCCTTGGGGTGCGCGTGTGACTTCAAAGTTGGGGGCAAGAAAGGAACTTTTGTCGTTGTTGGAGAATGGGAACACGGATGAGATGGTGGAGTGTATTACTGGAGAAGAGTTCCAAGCTGTCACGGGGGCTTTGATGGCCTCGCTCAAGAAGAAATAAAATGGGATCAACTTGATTTACTTGGTTGTGTGTACTTCGACGCGTCAGTGCAATAGTACCCGTCTATATTCTCACGCTGAGCTTGTATGAACTAAATAGAATATGCTCCGTTGAGTCAAATGCTGGTTGTTTGCTATGATAGATGAGAATATATCATAATGCACCAATTTTTCCAACATGGGCCTGTGGTGAAGTGGCTAACACGCTCCCCTCCGGAGGGAGAGATCATCGGTTCAAACCCGATCTGGCTCGCACTGCCTTTTCGAGGGCATGATGCAGGGAGGGTGTCAAGCATCAGTGCTTGGCAACTCAGCTGAGGCTTTTGCGTTTCGACTGACAACCCTTCCTGCTGAGCCACGATCAATCACACCTCACTTTTTCTTTTGCGTTCTGTTTTAACAAGCTCGCACAGAGCAATTACTTCACTTCATTTTTATATGTGAAACTGAAGAAAGCATTAGTATTAACTGTCTGCTCATTTTGAAACAGGTAGAAACTTATACCTTCTCAAAAGTCTAAACATACACTTATAAATAAGTGTGGGGCTGAATGTATGGAGATGTTGAAGGAACTTCTCCCCAAAAATGCATGCAGTGATTATAGGCAGTGGTCTTGTTGGAGCTGCGACGGCCCTCGCTCTCAAACAAGTTGGTATCGAAGCTACTCTGTACGATCAAGTCGACCTCTTCCAAGCAGCTATCGCCGCGAAAGGAGCTCCGGTTGCTGTTGAATTTGGGGAGTCAGGAGGTAATGATCCTTGCTGGTTTCTTCAACGACTAACTATTTAGTTTTTAAAACAAAGGCTCTGTATTGATCGCTTCCATTGGCCTGAGGGTATTGCGTACGCTTGGACTCTTGGACGAAGTAATGGCTTCGTCTTATCCGTCACCAACCACAAATTGGTTCAAAATCGATGGATCTTCTCCGATCACGCTCAACGCCTCCAAAGTTGCGAAAGATTGTGGAGAGAATGAAGAGGTGTTTCAAACCTCTGTCCAGATTCTGAGATCGAAGGTTTGTTGAACTGTCAAATCTGTTATCATTGTATCTATTTAAAAATGTTCTTCAGCTCCACAGCATCATGATGCAGGCTTGCAATAGAGCTGGCATTCGTTGTTTTACTGGCAAAAAGTTTGTATGCTACTCTGAAATGGAGTCTGGCGTCACCGTTGAATTTGAAGACGGAACAACCGCAGCGGGTGATTTTCTCGTCGGAGCAGACGGAATTCATTCAGCAACGCGTCGCGCCATTTTCGGTGACTCCAGCAAGGCTGAATTTACTGGGGCAATTGGGCACATTGGCGTTGTTCGCACAAAAGAACATAACATCACTCTCAAGGAAACTTGCGCATTCTACTTGGAACGAGAAAAGAAACAAACTGCTTGGACGTTCAAGATATCGGACGACCTAGCCGCTGTACAAGTAATGACGTTCAACGATCCAAAACCATCTGAAGGTAATGATTACAGACCTGTTGCCGACCTTCCAAAGGAATCAAGCAGATTGGCAGATATGATGGCCGAATGGGGTGTTCCCAAACATGTAGAGGAAATGATGCGTCGTTCCTTTCGGATTTCCCCTGCTGCGATTTATGATTTACCCGATCTTTCCACGTACCACAAGGGACGCGTCATCCTATCGGAGACTCTGCTCACGGAACGGTTCCGAATGCAGGTGTCGGTCTATGATTGGTCTTGAAGATGTTGGAACTTTGCTTGAATTATTCCGTCACTTTCCAAACAAGACAGATATCACGAAATGTTTGCTCTATACTCACAGCTTCGCGTTCCTCGAGGACATTGGGGGCTCACAAAGTCGCCTAATGGCGACAATACTATGGAGGTTCTAACGCACTTGGACATTTCAAACTTCGAGTTGGTATTTTCTTGTTCAATCATAACTTGATGAAGTATGGAATGGTGTATGATTGTGCGAGCGAAGTTTCTGCTGCCGTTAAGGAATATATTTAGAATAAACTTACTCGAGATCTCTGCAATTCAATGACAGTTTCGAACGACCTCCATCCATCAGTATATATCGCAATCTGGATCATATGCTCTGGCTCTGTCATTCTATTCAACAAGTACATTCTGCACACGCTTGAGTTCCGTAAGTCTTATCGGAGGACACCATCTTAAGCTAACTTCCAAGACAAGCTTTCCCCATCCTGCTGACAACCTTCCACCTTCTCTTTGCCACAATAGCAACTCGGATCATGCGGAGAACAACGAGTTTGTTGAACGGCCTGGATGCTGTTAAGATCACCCCAACAGTCTATCGCACAGCCATTCTCCCATCGGCCTCCTGTTTTCAATGTCCCTTGCTTTCTCAAACAATGCATATCTTTACTATCTGTGGCATTTGGACAGATGCTGAAGGTTCGTAGATCTGCCTTCAACCTAACATCTAAACAACTGGATTCGACAGGACACAACCCCTGTTGCAGTTCTCCTCATTGGCTATTTGATGCAAATCGAGAAACCAGACTCAAAAATTCTGATGAAAGTGTCGCTGATCGTAATAGGAACTGTTCTCACTTCGTACGGAGAAGTCCAATTTGTGGTTATCGGCGTTCTTTGTCAAGTCACTGGTATTCTCACGGAAGCAACGCGATTGGTTCTTGTACAGAAACTGCTCAAGGACTTCAAAATGGATCCTCTCGTCTCGCTTTATCATTTCGCTCCAATTTGTGCACTGATGAATGGAATCGCGTGTTTGCTTATCGAAGGACGCTCCTTCTCCTGGACAATGTTGATACAGTCGGATTTCCACTGCTCTTTTTGAATTGCTCGATGGCGCTATTGCTCAACGTATCAGCAGTGTTCTTGATTGGCAAGACGTCATCACTTGTATGTGTTTATCAGGCATCTTCAAAAACATCCTCCTGGTTTCGGTTTCAGTTTTGATTTGGGGTACACCGATTAGCTCGTTGCAGTTTCTTGGATACGGAATCGCGCTCATAGGGCTCGTTTCATACAAGCAGCCAGATATTGAAAGTCGTTGGCTTGCTGCGGCTTTTGTGTTTGTTTGCTTTGCGGCGACGGCAAAGGAATGGATGAGTGTTCAATAAATCAAATATCGAACACAGTTAGTGTACCCACTTTATCTAGTTAACTGTGTTCGTTTTTGAAGAAGTCGGAAAATCAAGTAAGTGGTTTGTTTGTTTTCTGTGGGGTTAATCAATTTGGAGATGAGGAGGAAACCATTCTGAAAATGCACGCAGTCATTGTTGGCAGTGGCTCGTTGGGGCTGCAACTGCTCTCGCCCTCCACCAAGTGGGCATTGAAAGTTCTTTGTACGATCAAGTTGATCTCGTTGACGCCACACTCAAATCTGGAGGATCCCCAATTGTAGTGGACTTTGGGGACTCGGGAGGTAAGACACTCGCTCAATTTAATTCAACTCTGATACTAACGGTCTTTAGGCTCAGTCATGCTTGGAGCCAGTGCTCTCAGAGTAGTTAACACTCTTGGGCTTCTTGATCAAGTGATGATTGCATCGTATCCGTCTCCAACCACAAATTGGTTCAAGATTGACGGATCATCTCAAATAACTCTTGATGCTGTCAAAGTTGCAAAGTACTGCGACGAAACTGAGCCTGCATTCCAAACACCTGTTCAAATTCTTCGTTCAAAGGTGATAAGGGTCAAGTTGGATTAATTGGTCTTCAATTAAAATCGAATACAGTTGCACAGTATCCTCATGCTAGCTTGTCACAAGTTGGCATTCGTACCTTTACTGGCAAAAAGTTGTCAGTTTCAATGAAACAGAACAAGGTTAACGGCATGCTTTCAAGATGGAACAACTGCCTCCGGTGATTTCTGGTAGGAGCTGACGGCATTCACTCGGCAACGCGTCGCTCTGTGTTTGGTGAAAACTGCAAGGCCGTCTTTACAGGAGCCATTGGCCATATTGGGGTTGTGAAAACCAAAGAAAACAACATCGAGTTGAAAGAACTTGTGCTTTTACATTGACCGCGACAACAAGCAGATGGCCTGGACTTTCAAGATTTCTGAAGAATTGGGAGCTGTTCAAGTCATGACGTTTAATGATCCGCTTCCATCGCTGGTGAGGAATACGGCCAGTTTCAGATCTTCCAAAGAGTCTTCGCGCTTGGCGATTTATTGGCTGACTGGGGCTTGCCAAAGAATATCGAAATGATGATGCGAAAGTCATTTCGAATTTCTCCAGCTGCAATTTACGATTTGCCCGATCTTCCATTTATCATAAAGGTCGTGTAGTCTTACTCGGAGACTCTGCACATGGTATGGTCCCCAACGCCGGGGTGGGACTCATGATGGGACTTGAAGATGTCGGAACTTTGCTGGAACTCTTCCGACACTATCAAGATCCGCAATACCTTCCAAGAGTGTTTGAGTTGTATTCAAAGCTCAGAGTCCCACGTGGCACGGGGCTGCGATGCGAAGCCGTCAGATGGCAGAGCAGTACTATTCAGGCTCTCCGCTTTGGCCACTTCAAACTCCGTGTTGGATTTTCCTGTTTAACCATAACTTGCTCAAGTATGGTACAATCTATGATTGCCCGATTGAAGTTGCTTCAGCCATTCAGGCTTCAGAAAAGCAGTGAAGATTTATTAATTCTCCCGCTTCTTATTTCTTTTGATAAACTAGAATATGATTGTTGCTTGGCAATCCAGGTTTGAATGAGTTGCAAGCCTGACTGTCGGCAAGAGAGTTAAGTCTTTCACATCACGGAGTCCCCAATCTTTTTTCTGTCGAGAATATATATTCTTAGATTTTATGAGGTTGACACGAAGGTTTTACCTGCTTTTGAGGCTAGCATCGAAATCCAAGTTTGACTGAGGAGAAATGACTCCGTTGAACATAAATGGTCCGTAAAGACCAGCAATCCATTTGGTCGTAGAATGTTTCCAGATGCAGCAAACAGCCCTTGTGAGGCAGACCAAGGTGAAATATGGACCATGTTAACGTTTACGATGAGATCCATCGAAGCATCTGAAATCTTCCATTCTGCTCGAGAAGATGATGCATCAATCAAAAGCGGTGGTTCGATGTTGGTCAATCCACTTTCTTTTCGGTACTGTCGATGCTATTGAAACCACACAATTATGAGCCTACTTCTTTGACAGAGCAGTGTACCTTGCAATGTTTTCTTCGTTCACTTCCGAGGGAGTCCAAGTTACGTTGGGAAAGGTCTGAGCAAAGGCAATCAAGTGTTGACCAGGTCCAGATGCAACTTCGAGGGCTCTGAGAGGCCCTTTCTGTGATGT